TTTTTTTATAAACTATTAACTTATTAGCTAATAAATTTTGATTAATCAATTATTAATTACATAAATGAAGAATTTCTTAGAAATTTATTAAATAACTTAAAATTTTGATATATTTTTATTCATTGATCAAATATTAATTAATTACATACAAATTTATCTATTATAATTAAATTGATGATATACAAATTAATTATAATTAAAATTTTGATATAATTAATTATAGATTCTTAAAATTATGATATAATTAAAATTTTGATACATCTATCAATTTATCTATTATAATTAATATACAAAGTTATTTTCTTAAAACCTCCCTCTCTGCCCAAACCCTCGCTTGTCACTGCCCCTCTCGGTTTCGCCCAAAACGATCGCATTCGTGAACGAACCTTCGCGTTCCTTCCCTGTTTTGCCCAAAACGATCGCCTTCGTGAACGATCCTTCGAGATACAGTCGCCATTAGAGCTAACTGGGAAGGCGACGACGAGATCGCGATTTACAGTGACTACCGAAACTGCCGTCTCTCACTCCCGATCCACTCCTACCAGAAACCAGAAATTATCGAGGAAGGTAAGCCTGTTTGCGCCATTCTTCCTCTTTTCTTGGTGAGAGGGCCACCTTGTGACCATGATTCAGGAGAAGAAAGAATCAGCGAGGGCGAGGGGGGCACCGAAGGAATTTTTCACGCTAACGCGGGAAGCAGACGCAGGACGCGGCTCCTTCCTTCTTCTCCTTCTGTTAACGAAATCTTGTAAGTGCTTATGAGCGGCAGGAATAATCTGCGCCGCACGTATTTTTCAAACACCTCCACGACGTTTTTATACCGCCACCGCACTCCAATAAGCCGCCCCAAACGGGCCCTTAATACAAGCGATATCTTTTGAAGAAATAATTTTAATTGGAGGAGATTTAAATGAACATGTCATTAGAGTGGTAGCAGATTTTAGAAATATTCATGGTGCCTACAATTTTGTAGTGATTAATGAAGAAGGTAGAACTAGATTAGATTTTGTTTTAGCTTATAATTTTATTATTGCTAATATTTTATTCAAGAAAAGAGATGACCATATTATTACTTATAAGAATGGATCTAATAAAACACATTAATTATTTTCTTACGAGAAGAAGAGATTGTCGATAATGTAAAGATTATAAGGTCATTTCAAGTGAGGTTTTAAGTACTCAATATTGATTATTAGTTCTAGATTTTAAAATGAAGAGTTGTAACATGAAGAGTTGTAACATAAAAAAATACTACGAATCATTGTCGTGAAACTAGATGAGGGCACCTAAAATACACATAAAATTATTTTTCCAAGTAAACTTCAAGATTTCAAGATTTGAGATGTTCATGAAGAAACAAATTCTTTGTGGGATAAATTAACAAACATTAAACAAGTGACAAAAGATGTACTTGGAGAATAAAAAAAAGTTTCTATAAAAAATAGTTGGTGGTGAAATAATAATGTGCAAGAAAAGATAAATATAGGAAATATTGTCATAAAAATTGGTTTAAATGTAAAAACTTAGAGAAATGAGAAAAATATATTTATAATATATTGGATATTTAAAACTTAAAGAGTTTATGAGAACAATCTGCGACGCTATAAATTCTGCTTTATTGATATTTATAATATATTGGATACTAAAGAGAGTGAAAAATATATGGATAAACTAGCCAAAAAAAAAGTAAAAATTTAATGTTTTAAAGATGAAAATAAAAAAAGTGTTTTTTTTAGATAAAATTTTGAAAAATACAATCGATCTTAATATCGTTAATAATAAAATGTTTCATTTTTATTGTCGCTTTAGTAAAGAAAAAGTTAATAGGGCTTTAAAGAAAACCAAGGGTGAAAAGCTTGTAGGACTCGATGTTATCCCAATTGAAGTGTGGAAATATATAGGAGATTTGAGAGTTTCTAAGCTTACTAAACTTTTTTATATTATTTTAAAAACTTGGAAGATGCTTGAGGAGTGGGGAAGAGTATTTTGGTCCCCATTTTTAAGAATAAAGGGGGAAGGGGATGCTTAAAAATGTACAAATTATAGAGGATTTAAGTTGATGTGTCATACTTTAAAATTATGGGAGAGGTTAATTGAACATAGGTTAAGACCTATTATAAAAAATTCTTATAATCAATTTGGATTTATGCTTGGCAGGTCTACTATTGAAGCTATACATTTATTGAGAGGTTTGGTGGAGAAGTTCAGAGAGAATAAGAAGGATCTACAAATGATTTTATTGATATAGAAAAAGCTTACGATAAGATTTCAAGAGATATCATTTGGAGAGTTATAGATAAGAAAGATGTTGATATGGCTTATATTTAAGTCATTAAAGATATGTATACTGGAGTTGTTACTTGTGTTCGAACAGGAGGATTGACTAAATATTTTCCTATTTTAGTTGGATTACAATATGGATCAACTTTAAGACCATATCTTTTTGCTTTAGTTTTTGATGTTCTCACTAGATATTTATGGAGGATGTACCTTGGTGTATGCTTTTTGCTGATATTATCCTTCTCGTGGATAAGACTAGAGTGAAAACTCAAGAAAAACTTGAATTATGAAGGTCTACATTGGATTCTAAAGGTCTTTGTTTAAGTTGAACTAAAACTAAATACATGCAATGTAATTTTAATAGTAATAGCTCTAGTGACAGAGTTGTAACTATGGGTGATTAAATTTTTAAATGGTGTGAACGCTTTAGATATCTCGGGTCTATTGTTCAAAGTTATTGTTGGTCTATTGTTCAAAGTGATGGCGATATAGATGGGGATGTTATTAGTAGGCTTTAAGTTGGTTGGCTGAAGTGGAGGAATGCATCGGGCCTATTCTGTGATAGAAAAGTACTTCTTAGACTGAAAGGAAAATTATATAAAATGGTGGTGAGACCTGTAATGCTCTATGGTGCTGAATGTTGGCCTTTAAAAGTGAAGCATAAAACTAAGTATTGTCGAGATGAGACTGCTTAGGTGGATGAGTGGCTTTACACTTAGAGACAAAATGCGAAATGAATATATCCGTGATATGGTTGGTGTAGCTCCAGTGGCGGATAAAATTAGAGAGTCGTCTTTGATGGTTTGGTCAAATTAAACATCGTCCATCTGATGATCAGATTAGGATAGTAGATGTTGTAGATTCGAGTTATGTTAAGAAAGACAGATCTAAAAAGATTTGGGCATATTGTATAAAAAATAATCTTAATTTATTAGAATTAAATGTAAATATGACACTCAATAGGACACAATGGAGAAAAAAAGATTCATGTAGCTGACCCCACTTAGTGGGATAAAGGTTTGTTGTTGTTGTATCTCTATTGCTTGAGCTCATCCCTATCTCATTTCAAATCTTGTCGCTTTCAATTTACTCATGTAATTGATGCATTTTCTATCTTTTCTGTACATGTCCAAATTGAATAAGTTTATTTCAGTTACCTTACTCTAATAGTTTCATATGATCATTCCATAGTTTGTCTTGCTTAACCTTCTCATTGTTGGTCCGATTAGATACCGGAGATTCCTTATTACAAAACACTCAGATTTGTACAGCATTTCCTGCCCTGTTGCAGTATTATAAAAATGCAACTCCATAGGGAAACTAATTTAAAAGTACTCAATATGCACCACAAATCATATGTTGATGTTAATAAAAAGCCAAAAAAGCCTGAAGGTAAAAATGATGGAAGATTCCGGAAGAATCTTACCATTACATGGATATGAGAAAATTTAAGCATGAAAAGCTAGGTGTTATTGATGTCCCTTTCAGTCCAAGCAAGTGCAGTGCTGATCTGTTTTATATTTTTGAGTTTACTTGAAGTACATGAAGCTTGAGAGTGCTGAATTTTGTTTCATCCTGTTAGAGGATGATGGATTTTATTTTGATCATGCCTAAAAGCATTGAAGCTCTAGAAAAAATCTTTAATGAATTAATCATTATTTGGTTTGCCATCTGTAGAACTTTTGGTTGCATTGTTACATTGCAGCGAGGTCAGCTGCTACAATCTATTTATACTTTGTGCAAATTTGCGTGAAAGCATTGTTATGAGGAAACTGTAGTTGCTGAAGAGGATTCTTGTATAAAATGGTTCTAGAATTTTGCAGTGTTTTTATCTTTTTGGAGAATTCTTATTGCTTAGTTATAAATTTTGTTATTTATAGTTTTCATTTTTCTTATTAATTCAGGATGTTATATCTGAGTTAGAGATTGTTTTTGTATGAATTGATTCTCTAGTCATGGAAAAAGTTAGGAGAGATTAGTTTTCCTTGGATTTTTTTGGTATTCTGCTAATTCTATTTAAAACTTTTTCCATTAAATATGTCAAATATTGAATGTCTAGTTTTAATTTCTTTTCTTGATCTGTCAATAGTTATAGATTTACTGAATGTTTGAACATGCCAAATTAAAGTAATATATTAACATTTTTTGTTATATATACTTGTTGAATGCTTAGATGAAAGCTAGAGCTAGGCTTGCAAATCCTCTCCCAAAAACTCAGGCTGTAAAGGGTGGCATGAGTGGTGGGTTTCGCATTGGGCATAATGGAATTGGAGTTTACTCTAGATTTGGTAAGTTCAAGATTCTTAAGCTATGGAAGTATCCTGTAACTTCATCTTTCTGATGGTCCTTTTCTGTCAAATACAGGTAGGGGCTTTGTTAGGGGCAGGTTTCCTTCCAACAGGGCTGGGTTTCAGGGCAGCAGGGGTTTTTATCCACGCGGACGTGGTAGGGGTGGGAGGTTTTCTAGTGCATCTGTTGACAATGAAATGCCTTCTGAATTTCATGGCTGGAGGCCTTATGGAGTTCAAGGTAGTTATTGATTTACTTGTAAATCTTGTTTATCTTGTCATGTTTGTGTAATATTGTAGCTTCTATGATATCTTTATTGCAGGTGGCAGAAGAGGTTCTACTTCTGGAAGGCTTGGTGCTTTTGATAGAGGTCGTGGCAGAGGATTTCCATCTAGAAGGCCACCTTACTCCCAAGAAGGGGATTTTAGTGGACATTTTGGTGCTGCGCAATTTGGTGAAGATCCTTACTTCTATGGTGGAGGACGTGGCCTTAAGCGTCCTTTTTCTATGTTGGTTAGTGGATAGCTTAATTTTGTGTTCTTTTAGTTGATATTTTTTTTCTTTGATTCTTAGTATATGGCATAATTTTTTACTCTTTTAGTTGATATTTTTGAATCTATTTGTCCAGGAGCACGATCCTAGTTATCTCGCTACTAACAGACTACGCCCTCGCTATGATCTTCCAGACCCACTGTCTGCTGGTCCACGCTATCGAGGTTTTATTTCTCTTAGTTTAAGATGCATTAAATTTCTTTAGACATCAAACTTTTTGCCTTTGAATCAAATTTATACGATTAAAATTTTGCATATTAAATCTAAATAGTCCTAATATTCCACAGACTCTCTGGGGACGTCTGGTTTATATTCACGTGATTACTATGGTTCAGATGTAAGTACTTAATTATACTTTTCTCTGCAAATATTTCTGAATATCGAACTTTCTTCTTGCAACTATGCAGTTTGGTGGTAGCTCTTATTCATCATTCTATGGAGGCGAGCCTTCTGGAGGTGGTTATTTTTATTAGATGGTAATAGTTAAGCTTTAAACTTCTTACTGTTCTGGTCTTGGGAATCTTGGGTGTGGTTGGTCCTAAATTGTAACTTTATCCCTTTTTTTTTTCTTCAGATCTGAAGATTCGGAGTTTGTTGTCACATGAAAAGGGATTATGAGGGGCTTCTTCAACGTCAAAAACATCACTATTGTTGATTTCCATGCTTTTTTATTATCATCTTTGAGACTCATTCTACCATGAATATGCTAGTGTCAGTTAGTACCAGGTTATTTATTTATGAGTGACTTAGGGTTCCAATTATAATTTTGATGTCTGGTATAGGGCTTTTAACATTATATGATGACTTTGATTGGAATTAGAACTTTTACATAAAGTTTTTGGGTTTGTAATTTTGAGGTCAATCAACCATAAGATGACATATATGTGGTTTCTTTATGATATTTTGTTGGATAACTTATGCTATACAATAACATTGACATGATGATGTTCATTTAACTCTGTAGTTGATTATGGGGCGGTGCATGAAAATTGCATCTAGATTGGTGAGTTCCTCGTCATTTACTGAGGTGATACATTTGATACAGGGAATTATTATTTTATGCTTCTGTAAGGACAAATAGTAGGGAGATTTCAATATTTTATAGTTGTTCTGAGAAGGAAGTATAAGATCAATATCATTGGCAGTTGAAGCCTTTCACCAATAAGGCTTTTATGCATGTAAAGCCATTGTGATAGCTGTTGTGACTTTTAAGTTGGCTTAATTTTTTGAAGGCCATTATACGTGCACAGTTATTATTTGAACATTTGGATGACCTATGCTATTTGCTGTAAATTGGAGTTTTTATCAGGCTTCCCAAAGATAAAATCTGCATGTAACGTGGAATATCTCAAAGATAAAATCTGTATGTAACGTGGAATATCTGGTGATGACCCTTCTTAATTCAGGTTTACCTGGCACTTTGTCACTGTGCTTTGTTGTTGGAGCTAGAAATACAATTTGTTCTATTGACATTACAATATCATTGTATTTTGGACTGTTTTTGATGGAGAAATAGGACTTTATTTTAGGGTTTTGACCACCATGCAGTACAAATGCTCTGTACAAACTTTTACGGGAAGGCAGTTCATTGATGAGCTATGCTATCTTTTTATTGACTTGTCATGGGTTAAACATGTTGATGAGTACGTTTAATTTTCCTGTTTTCATTTGACGGGATAATTTTTTAATCAAGGTCAACCTTTATACTGGTTGGATTTTTTTTCCCATTTGGCTATGTACAAAAATTTATTTCTTTTCCCAAGCATTTACCTTTCTATTAATTTTAAAATGACATTACAAACTTTATTTTTTTTCTAATACTACAATAAAGAATTGTTAACAAAAGCTGGGGTAGACCTAAAAAGAATTGAGCAAATTGTATACAAATAATCTTAATCTATTACCCAATAGGATGCAATGGAGAAAAAGGATTCATGCAGCCAACCCACTTAGTGGGATAAAGGCTTGTTGTTGTTGTTTTTGTAACTACAACAAAGAACCAATAACGATTTCAAATTTTACATGAACTCAAGTTCACCTATACTTCAATTTTTCGTGTTAGCGTAATTACGCCTTTTCTGATCAATTTTTTTATTTTTATTTTATTTTTCATTTTGATCTTTTATATAGTTTTTCCCTTGTTGCTCTCATTTATTGATTTCTTGAAGTAACAGTTCATCTCCTTTTATATCTCTATTTAAAATTGAAATTTATTTCATCCCTTTTCTATTACCTTAGCTATTTTTTTTTCTTTTTTTTTTAGCTAACCTACACTGCAGATGTTCAAGAGCTATAGTTGGACTATGATTTCAGCTTCTGGCACTCAAATGTATTATCAGCATTGTGGTTGATGATCAATTTTAGCCACTTGGCAGAATATTTTTTAAATCAAGGTATCCGAAGCCCTTACTTCTATAGTGATATATTTTTTTATCTTCTATTTTTGTTGGAAAACAGTTTTCAAACATATAAGCCTGTTCTTGGTCTTCAATTTTCATTTCAAATATATTTTTGTTTTTAAGCTACATCAGTTGCCATAACTTTCAAATTTGACAGGTATAAGGGGCCTATATTCACCTATATTTATCATTTTAAAGCGATCATAATTGTATTTTTTTTATCATTCTATATTGAGATGTCATGTTCTGTTTATTTGGCTCTTTAAATAAATTTCCACTGGCTTGTTTATTAATTTTTTTAAAATAGCATCTCATCTATTGTTATCCTCTTATTTAACTAAATCTTTTTATTTCAACTTTTTATGATTCTAATTTTATTGAAGTTAGAAGATCTCTTATCTATATCACCTCTTTTATTTTGAACTGACCTACGGTTATAAATCTTTAAAAGCTGTAGATGGGTTATGGTTTCAACATATGGAGCTCATATATATATATATATATATATATATATATATATATATATATAATTTTGTAAGTTTAGCACATAGTCACTAATGTCCATCGTCTTTTACTGATATTTTTTTCTTCGAGTTCTAAATGTTGCATAGTCAGAATTCAAGACAATTATATTCATGAATGCATACTTATAAACTCTATAATTTATTTATGGAGTATATTAAGAGCCATGAGAATACTAATTGTTAGTCTTAATTTAAAAATATGATCATTTGATAATTTAATTATAACCCATTTACAGATATATTGTTATCTAATAATCTCTAGACAGCCTTCGTATTTTTATGAGATCATTTTGATGTGATAAGATAATCCATTTGATTGTAAAAATTCTTTCAAATATCATTTTAGGTTATAGTTTTTATCTTGTCTTTATATTTTATTTTCTTATATTATTAAATTTTACTTTCATTATTTTCCTTAATTAGTTTGCAATCAAGGTTTTTGTTTAATTTCTATCTTATTTAATATATTTAATATATTTAAAAATCTTAATTCCTTACATATATTTTTATGATATTATTTTTTAAAATTGTGTATTTTTGTCTGGAGAAGTCTGTTTTGATACAGTGTAAATCATTATATCGAATAAATATTCAACTATTATTAAGATAGATGCCCAGCAATTTATTAGTCTAATTGAATAAATATCCATTGAGATCAGCCGTTGTTTGCTATATTTTTTAATTTATTATACAGTCAATCGTGTCCATTTGTTAGCTTGTCTGACCATTTTCTAGCTGTTATTCTCAGTTAAGCTCTCAAAATTATTCAATGCCATTGAATAAATAACATATAAATTCAGTCATTTATTTTTCTCGTCTCTCTACTGTTATCATTTGTGTTCAAATAGCATTCTTAATTTGTTATTTATAATTATGTTTTTTTTTTCTATATAAACTGCAATATAGCATAACACTTAATTTAAAATAATAAATTTAACCTTTAATAAAATCTCAATCACGTGTACTTAGGGTATATGCATTTTTGCTAGCGTGTTAGACAAGACTATGTCGTCAATGATCGACAGGGTATCACTATTTGGAATCACCATATTTGAGCTGTTTTTATTTTTAAGTTTGCATTAATATTTACAAAATGCAATTAATTTTTGTAGCAGATTTTCAATACGAGCAAGCTAAATGTCTGAATAATAAGATTCAATATCTTGATCAATAGCTGTCACTTCTAATGAATTTAAAGTAATTTTGAAAATAGTTTTACAATCAAATGCACAGGGGGTTTGCAGGAAGTATATGATGACGCGTTGCTTGTAGTTGAGCTAGAATTATAAATTTATTATACGACTGCATACTAAAACAATATTTCCATGTTCAGTAAATAAACATTATCATAAGCTTCAACATGTATTAAGCTCACCAAAATATCAGCCAAGCTTATTACTCAGGCAATGAAATACTTCTACATTCATGGAAAAAAAAGAAACACTTTCCAATGTACACGGAATAAAAATGTCAATTCAAGATTATCTAATGAGCCATGCTACTTTACCATGATTGCTGTATGCTATGAAGGTAGAGTATTTTTTTAAAAAAACCCTCTACTAAATCCCTGAAAATTCAGAACGAAAAACTCTCCCTCCATTTGCTTTTTGGTTGGATGGAATTTAAAATTCAACCTTTTTAACTGTTGTGTAAAATAATTGTGATCTATTTTTTTTCAACTAAATTTATTTGGCTAGATTTTAAGTAACATGAAATATTGTTATAATTTTATTGGAGCTAAGCTTAGTGTTCGATACACTGTTGAAATGAAATGGTAAGATTGCTTTTTCGATCAAAATTTATTCAGTGGTTAATATTTATATCCTTAATTTGAAGTAGTATTTTTTTAAATTTTTTTGATGATCCAAGCTGATGAAAATGGTCATATCTTCTAGATCCAACTAATCTCTACGCTAAAGTTATGTATGGCTTCGAAAATTTTGTTTCGCATATTTTACTCATATTTTTCTTCTCTTTTAATAAACCTTGCCAGAATTGGATCATCGCTTTCTTGATATCTTTCTTTATTCACCCGAAAATCTGAGGATGAAGGAGACTTCTCAGGTTGATCGGTCATTGTAGATTTCTTTGTACTTTGATTTGTTTTCTATTACCGACTGCATGTACTTTTCAATGGTAGCCCATGTTTTATTCAGCTTTATAAAAACTTCTATTTTTACAAATCATAACTATTTGGACATTTGATTTTGTGGTAAACATGGATGCAGTTTTTGATGCCAAGTTTGAAGCATTGTTAAATTCAAACTATCATGAATAATCTGAGTCAAAAAAACACAGAAACCTTTTTTCGCTTTCTTTACATAGAAAAAAAATTCCAGACAAATAAACAATTCGAAAATCAAGAGGCAAATAGTAAAAAATCAGAGCCAGAAGTGAGGTTTAACAGAGGATCATGTTTGGTGTTTGATGCAAGATGTCTTGGGGTTAGAATTTTGTAATGCAGGTAATATGATGTGTGGTGTGATAAAATACGAGGAAATTGAGTTTCAGCTCTTGTAATTCATAAAATGATAAAATTATTGTAAAGCGGTCCTAAAAACTTATGCACTGGGAAACATCAAAGCATTCATAGTGTGAAGTGTCAATATTGTCCATTTGGAAGCATGGAAAGCTTTTGCTTCACTTTTTATGGAAATCTGATAGGATGGTTAATCTTTTATGGTGGTGAAATGGAGGAAAGTTTAAAAAGAAATTTTTTGCCTGCAATTTATCGTAAGCTTCTTTTAACAGGTTTAAAAAAAGAAGAAAAAGACTTTCTTTTGAGGTCCTTGGTTGAGTAGAAATTTTGCAACTTTTGGAGCTCATGCTTTTTGAGATTTCTAAATGAGTGGAAATTTTGCACTTTTCGAGCCTTAGGTTTTAATGAATTTCAATGAATATAAAATTTGAACCTTTTAAGGTTTTTTTTTTCTGCATTTTAGATGAGTAAAAATTATGCCTTGCTAGAAGTTTTTTTATGATTAAAGAGTTTATTTACCACTTGCTCTTATGGAGGCCTTGTAGAGGTGATCGTATATAATATTAATTTTCCATTAAGGCTTTTTTGTCGAAATGCCTTTCATGACTTTAGAGTTGTGTTTTTGCCTACCACCTGCCTTTAAAGGGGTATTTTTGTTAGGATCTTGTTCAACATTAGCTACCCGTCGAGGGTTTAATTCATGATTTTAAGGTAGGGAGCTTTTTGCTATGGTTAAGGTTGACTGCAAATAGATAATGCCAAATTCCAAATTCAACTGCTAATGAAGAAAACTGCAGCCAATCTTCTTAAATATAATTCAAAAGTTCTATCACTGAAGGAGAAGAAAACTGTGATGAACTTTATCAAATTCCAACAATAACTTGTGGGCCCCCAATTTAAACAAGTAAATTTTGAGTTTTGTTAAATTTGAATCTAATATTAAAATTATGCATAACAATATTAAATAACCTGCATCTGGAAAATCAAAATACATCCCTCTTGACAGCCATCATTGACATGTTATTAATCATAGAATTAACAAAAATGAAATTGACTTACTAATAAAACAAATAAGCTGCGTTTAAATCATTGCTTGATACAGCACTTCTAATGGGAATAAATATAGGCTTCTATTTAATTTTGACACATCACCAGAGACCTAAAAAATCTTATTAAAATTAGCTAACTCAAGCACACGTTTCATTTTCAATTTTTTTTTTTATTTTAGTAGTTTTGTTGAAACCTTGCTTTAAAGTGCACTTCAGGTGTCAAGCTAAGCTATGTGCTAGCATTTTTCATCACTAATAGCAAAGTTTGCATTTTGCATTGCTTTGCCGCACTGCATCATAGCACCATGTGCATGGCTTTT